GTTAAAAATAATTCCAGCAACAAAAGTGCAAGTTGGATAAAATGCAAAATGAAAGCTTTCATACCATTAATTTAATGAATGACAAGAATAATTACTTCAAGGGAAGTGACTGGAATTCTAGCTTCTCTACCAAACAGGTCTGAGTAAGATCCATAATTATTGGCTCAAATACATGGATTACGGGGGCAACTAGGTGGCGTAGTCGATAGAGCACCAGACCTGGAGTCAGAAAGACACATTTCCCTGAGTTCAAACCCAGTCTCAGACACTTACTACCTATGTGACTCTGGGCAAGTCATTTAACCTGTTTGCCTCAGTTTTCTCATCTGTAAAATGAGCTGGAGAATGAAATGACAACCTACTATAGCAGAAGAAAACTTCAAATAGGGTCATGAACAGTAGGACACGACAAAAAAAAACTGAACAACATGAATTACTGATGTGGACCACCTTCCCATTTCTCTAGCTCATTTCCCCTCAACTTGTACTCAGGTCAGCAGATTGGAGTGTCCTAAGAGAAAGTGGCTACCACAACCACTACTTTCAGGATTTTAGAACTAATCCTTGTGGATGGCTAATCATGCTATACTATATTTTCTGAACCCCTATTGGTGTATTTCCCATCAACAAATCAGCCAGTTGGCTCAATGTACTCTTTTTTTTTTTTTTAAGGCAACTGGGGCTAAGTGAGTTGCCCAGGGTCACACAGCTAGTAAGTGTCAAGAGTTTGGTCTGAGGCCTGATTTGAACTCAGGTCCTCCTGACTTCAAGGCCAGTACTCTATCCACTGTTCCATTTAGCTGCCCCTCAATGTACTTTTAGCCAAAATATTTACTAAAAAGGCAAAACAAGAATGATAATTATATACTATTATACTCATAAACATGAGGTACAGTCTCCCACAAATGCACACAGTGTGCATACAGGAAAGTGGGCATAAATGAAGTACCATGGTAGTGAGGCACATGTGGCCAGGGTAACATGACTCTGGAACTTTGGACTCAGTGTCTTTTCTCTTTCTTAGAACTTGTCTTTCCAAAGGTTACTTTAATGATTTGTGTTGGTGAGTGATTCTGTTGCTAAGCTGGGCTGCTCCCGTGCTGTGCAGGACTAACTCCTAAGAGAGCACGGAGTGAGTCTAAGCAGGCAAGGTCAAGGCACTGGACTGCTTTAGTCGCTACTCTGCTGCTAGGGTGGGCTGCTCTTCTGCTTAGTTGGACTTGCTCCTTGATGACATCTATGGTCTCTGACACTTCAAGCTTCCAGCTTGCCTTCAGCTGAGATGTTATGTTCTTTTAGAAAGCCAGAGACCCCTAGCCTGAGAACCTTTTCTGTTTCTGCTTCCTCAGTGGGCTTTGAGGTACTTCTTCTCTACTTCTGGGGTGGCAGTGCAGAGAGAGAAAGAGATAGACTCTCACACAGCTCTGAGGTCTTTTCTTTGACCAGTTCTTCCTGATTCAGAAATGGCGTATCATTCATGATGCGTAACCAAATGCTCATCTCTGCTAGCTAAGCCATGACAAGGCAATGCATATTTGTTCAATGATCACAAAACAATTCTGGGATCTTGAGTCCTCATTTATTACTTCCAAAGTTCTCTACTTGGTCATATACAAATAGCAGCTTTGCTCTAGGCAGGTGAATTGTCCTTGGTTTCTTAGTATTTTCCATGTATAAGTTTTTGTTTTTTCCCCTTTGAAGCATCAAAATTGTCAAAGTCTGAAAGGGGCCGACCCTTATATTAGTAAAGCACTTTGCCTTCTTCCTCCTTGATGCAAACTTGGCCCCATCTTTCTTATGAGAAAGGAAGGAAAGGTTGGGAAATGGAGGTGAATTATGGAAAAGCAAAAGGCCTGGACCATAGTAGGCTCTCAATCAATATTGGCTGAATTGAATTGGCTTCATCTGGGGAGAAGAATAGACAGCATTTTATCTGAGACTGAAAATCTCCAATGATCTGTCACTGACTATCTATGTGATCTTTTATCAGGTCACATAACCTCTCTGGGCCTCAGATTCCTAGTCTTTAAAATGAAGTAGTTGGATTAGATATCTTCTAGAATACCTTTCAGGTCCAAATTTATGATCCTATCATCTCCTGCAACTTTGCAATGCTAAAGAACCTTTTTAGTTCACTTATCTTCTTATCACCCATTACAGTGAAACCACTTATTAAGAAGCACCCACTATTCCTACTTTTCATCATAATGAATATTTTAGGCTTTATTATAGCCCCTAATTTAGTATCTGAATCTTTTTTGTGCTACATTTATTCATTGACATGAATCTAGGCCTATTTTATCCTTTGATCTGAATGAGCCTTCAATTAAAATATGTCCTAATTAGAATTAATAGGGCAGGAGTCCAAACAATCTCTTCTGAAATTCATTAGCTTTTAATTTTCCCTCTGTAATATAAATAAATATCTCATTTTCACTAGCTATCCTGACTAACAGTATAATATCTCTAATAACCCTAGCCTGGCTACTAGCAATATTATTATTTTTCTAACCCTGCAAAAGCCAGGTGAGATAGCAAGATTCATACAACAAACATTCATCTACCAAGTATTTACTAAATGCTTCCTAGATAAGGCATAACCCCTGCCTTCACAAAGCATATAAGCTAACAGGGCAATAAGACAAAAATGCAGATAAATATAAAGCACAATATTCCGTGATGAGTGAGTCAGAGTTGCAAATATGATTTTGAATTAGTCTCAGGATTTAACATAGAATATGCCACAGGACAGTTTGTAGTACTTTCCTTAGAATATCCAATAGTAGTTCTTAAAGTAACCCAATGCTTTTCAAATCTGTAAAGAATTTTTTAAGAAAAGATGATGTGACCAGCTATTCCTCATATAGAGAGAAATTCATTACAGTGGCACCCTGAATGATCTAAGTTAAAGCATTTGAAAAGATTTCTTGATAGAGAAGTTAGAATGGGACCTTTGGAAGGTATAGTGTTTCCTTCTCTGTTGGTATTTCCAGTTAAGATGGATCCTCCTATTTATCAAGGATAACTGAGGTGACTTGAAAGCTGGGAATGAACTGTATGACTTCTGGAGAGAAGTCTAGCACTATATATGCCAACTTCTACACACACACACACACACACACACACACACACACTCACACACACCCCTCAGGGAAACACACCCCCTTAATAATAACTTGCTTCTTTCAAATGGCTGTATAAACTCAGACGCTGAGACTGTTTCATAAATTCATAAGAGATTAGAAAAAAACCAACCTCTTGCACCAGAAGGGCCCGGGTGACAAGCTTAGGTTTAAAATAGAGCCATGCAGATATAGTTAGAAAGAATAAGTGTGAGTCCTGGATGGCCAGAAAGGGTATTTGAAATATGAGTTTGCAGTAGGCCTAGGACTCAAATTTCCTCTGTAAGATCAGCTTACCCCTTCTAGGGCTGAGGCATATTGGCCCCTGGTTCTGTTAGGGAGGGATGACCTATTTCCAAAGAAGCTATTTCTATGAGCCATCCTTTAATTTTCTATGCTTCACATCTGAAGTTTTGGAATCTAGTTAGGAGCAAGATGCTGCTGCTGCCCTGCCATGGATTGACTATTGCCTTACGTTACCATTGTATATCACTGACCTTGGGGACTTCTGTATGGAGGTTAGACAGTGCACTGTCTTCTCCTTTGTTGGTGGGCAGGAGGACAGGCTTTCCCAGGCCCTGTTCCTTTTTTTGGGGGGGGGGAGGGTTGGTTGGGGTTAACTGACGTGCCCAGGGTCACACAGCTAGTGAGTGTCAAGTGTTTGGTCTGAGGCCAGATTTGAACTCATATCCTCCTGACTTCAGGGCCGGTGCTCTATCCACTGAGACACCTAGCGGCCGCTCCAGGCCCTGTTTCTGTGTTGTATTTTTTTATATGGAAAAATTTCATTCTGAGATTTTGGGACCATGGAGAAGCTTATTAGGGTGATGATAGAGAAGGATTTTTCAGTTCTATAAGCTAGAGGATTTGGGCAGGACAGCCTACCACCCTTTTCCCCTCAAAACATCCTTTAAAGGAAAAATGGCCTCACTCTTCTCTGAGTACCTTATACTGCAGTGGGGTGGGGGAGTTTTATATAGTCTCACACAGAAAGAACCCTGGTCCTGATGATAAGAATATAATCGTGTAGGGATTTTCTGTTCCCTACTCTGCCATTATAACCTCCTTTGGCCTATATGCCTTTTTTTTTTTAGGCAATTGGGGTTAAGTGGCTTGCCTGGGGTCACATAGCTAGTGAGTGTCAAGTGTTTGGTCTGAGGCTGGATTTGAACTCAGGTCCTCCTGACTTCAGGGCCAGTGCTCTATCCACTGGGCCACCTAGCTGCCCCAATCCCTTTCTTTCTTGTGGCGACTTTCTATTGCCTTTGATAGAAGCCAATCTCTTCAGGCTTTTTGGCAGTTGGGGGCCACCGAGACATTTCTGGTCCTCCGTAGATGAGGTTGGTAGTGAAAACAGCCTGCTTCGAATTCCATAGGCAGGGATGGTGAAAGAAGATGGGGATGTTTTTTGATTAATCATATAGGGTCATAAAATCATTAAGAGGAAACTAAACATATGAAGGTCACTAACTAAACTAGCGGCTCACAGTGTGTTCAAGTTGGCCATTCCTTGAAGGATTTAGTAACTCCTCAACCCACCCTGTTACTCCTCTCAGCAGGGAATCATAGGTCATTGGATACAGAGCTAGAGGAGTTCTTAGAAATTACTTATATGACCCCTTCAATTTACAAATTAGGAAACTGAGGTTCAAGAGGTAAAGGGATTTGCCTGGTGACACAGGGAGCAGAGTTGACCTGTGTCAGCTTCAAATTATGCTTTTTTAAGAGGATGAAGTGTTATCCACTTTAATGTTCCTCTCTCCTTTTTTGCTCTCTTTTTTTTCAAAAGAATTTTATTCTTTTTAATTCTGAACTTAACAAGCATCAAATTAAATGAACATTTCCATATCTATAGTAGCATAGAAAGAGATTTGTACATGAAATTGTGAACTCTTTATTAGGTACAACTTTTTTAAAAAAAATATGTGATAAATTTAACATATGGTTTCTTTCAAAGCTTCCCTTCTTGTCTGTGGTTCTTCCTGATCTTCTATTCTCTTCTATGTACTTAAAAATGCTTCAACCTCCATCTTTTATTTCTTCTTTTTATTTTCTTCTTTTTTAATTTTTTGATTATCCTAGTCTTCATCCCTCTTTTTGTCCATCCTTTAAAAAAAGAAAGAGAAAGACAAAACATTGTAAAAAATACGCATGGTTAAACTAAAACAAATTCTCACGTTTGGCTATGTCTGAAAATGTATGCCTTGTTCTGCCTCCTGAGTCAGGAGGTGGGGAGCATCTTTGATCTTCTGGAATCATTGTTGGTCATTGCAATGATCAGAGTTCTTAAGCCTTTCAAAGTTATTTTTCTTTTATTATTGTATAAAATTGTGGCACTTAAGTAAGTGTTGTTACTGTATACTTTATATCAGTTTATACAATTCCTCCTAGGTTTCTCTGAAATCATCCTTTTCATAATTTCTTACGGTACAATATTATTCCACCATATTTATATGCCATAATTTGTTTAACCATTCTCCAAAGAATGGGTATCCCTTTATTTTCCAGGTCTTTTCTACAACAAAAGAGATGCTATTAATATTTTTATCCATATGGGTCCTTTTTCTCTTTCTTTGGTTTCTTTGGGACCTAGTAGTAGTATCACTGGGTTAAACAGTATGCATAGTTTAGTGACTTTTTTGCTCCTCCTTCTTTCTCCCTGTCTCTCCTAAAGCCCAGGGCAGTTATTCTGGCTATTGTTCTGGGAAGAAAGGAAGAGGAGAGACAGACTAGAGGCAGAGCTGTTCCTTGGATAAGACCAGAAGCATAGATGAGAAGTAGAATATTTTGCTTGGGAGACAGTAGGTCAGAACCACAGAAGAACATCTCAAATTCAATACTCCTCCCAAACCCAAATTCAGTAAGCATTTGCACAACCTGTGTGCAAAAATACTGTGCTAGGTGTTGGAGGAGATATAAAATTAGATAAAACACAGTAGTCGTTAGTCATTTTTATATGCCCATAAGGTATAACCTTGCCCTGATAGAGTTTCTAGAGCAAAGGAATGTTGGTCCTCAAGATGTCCTAATACTTCATGGTGATGATACCCTCTTTAAGAAGCCAGAAAGCCGGGGCAGCTAGGCGGCGCAGTGGATAGAGCACCGGCTCTGAAGTCAGGAGGACCTGAGTTCAAATCTGGCCTCAGACCAAACACTTGACACTTACTAGCTGTGTGACCCTGGGCAAGTCACTTAACCGCAACTGCCTAAGCAAAAAAAAAAAAGCCAGAAGCCACAACTAACTGCCAGATGTGTGGGTGTAACTAGAAAGGTAGTGAAATATGTATTTTGAAATAGAGAATCATAATGCTGCCAAGGGCACAGACCATAAAAAGACCTCTGAAGTATAATTGCCTACTCTTATGCCCAAAAGGCATAAAACAGAGGTGGAGTTGAGGGACCGTGGGATGGGGTAGGGTCTTTGAGGGATGTCCCAGAAGATACCATTGGCGATTTCGAGGCAGAGAGTCAGGGCAGCTAACTTAGAAGTCTTACCTGTTCTTCTCTAAGTAGCCACTTAATAAATGCTAGTGGAATGACTGACTTTGGGGCAGGGAAGTATAAGTCAGTAAACTTCTCAATGGTCCAGAGAACTTATGCTTATTTTGTTACTTCATTGTTTTAAATTGTGGTATAGTTTCTCCTATACACTGAATGTAGATTCTAGCCCTGATTTTTCCATTGACTAGCTGCCCTTAAGCAAGTCTATCCAACTTCTCTGGGCCTCAGTTTCCACATATGTAAAACAAAGGCATTAGATTAGGTGATTTTTGGGTGCCTTTCTAAAGGCAGCTAGATGGCTCACTGGATAGAGCTCTGGGTCTGGAGTCAGGAATACCTGAGTTCAAATTTGGCCTCAGACATTAGCTGTGTGACCCTGGACAAGTTACTTAACTTCTATTTGCCTGCAATCCACCGGATAAAGAAATGGCAAACCACTCCAGTATCTTTGCCAAAAAAAACCCCATTCCAATATGGTTCACGAAGAGTCAGATATGACTGAACAACAATAACAAAGTGCCTTTCTAGTTCTCAATTCTGTAAGTCTATGAATTTATTGCCTTATTACACATGATCTGCTATCAATTCCTAATTGTTTCATTTGTGTGCTAAGTCTTGTTTTCTTAAGTTGTATGCTCCTAGGTAGTATGGGCCACATCTTATACTTATTCTGTATCACTCAAGATCTGGCACAGGTGTAGGCTGAAGTAGTTTTCCTTAAATACTTGTGGAATTTATCAAATTAGGAAGCCCTTGGTCCTGGCACCCTTTGGGGGCTAAGAAATAGGAACATTGCCTTGTTCTCCACGTCCTATTCTGCCCCTGAAGAGTTAGAAAACTCATAGAATCCACTGGGTGAGTGGCTGGAGGGGAGCTATTGTCCAGCATGGTACTTGATTCAGGACTGAGTGGAATGGTTAGGAAGCCCCACCCCCATTTTGGATAACTTCAAGTTTTGAAATGCCACCCCAGTCTGCGTCAAACCATGGATAAGAATAGAAATAAACAGATGAGTCACACGCTTTTCCCATGGGAATATGTCACAAGCCTTGTGGCTCTGGTATAGAGTCGGTTTGGTAGGAGTAGAGAAGGGAAGAGAAAGAAGAGAAAAGTAGAACTTATTCCTTTTAGTAAAAATCCATGGCAAGTAACTTGACCTTTAAGCTCCCGCTTCTATCCCTACAACGATACCTCATGGGGGCGGGTAGGGGGTGTGTTGTTATAATCTCATACCAAATTCTAGGGAATCATTGTCCTGGACCCCAAGAAGCCAGGTCTAGAGGTTCTTAGTGGGATGGCTCTGTGTGAATAGTTACAGGTACAAATTGAGTTTCTGGTTAGGGATGTTCCAGGGATGAACAAACTCCCAGAAATGGAGGAGACCATAAGGCAGAGGAATGACTGGCACTCTCTGTTCTTTCTCTTCTTCCCTCCCCTCTCATAGCGTGAGTGTATATCAGTCCACGTGGGTCAAGCAGGAGTCCAGATTGGCAATGCTTGTTGGGAACTTTTCTGCTTAGAGCACGGCATCCAAGCTGATGGTACTTTTGGCACCCAGGCCAGCAAGGTCAACAATGACGATTCCTTCACCACCTTTTTCAGTGAGACTGGCACCGGGAAACATGTGCCCCGGGCAGTAATGGTGGACCTGGAACCCTCTGTAGTAGGTAAGCACCTATTCACCAGGAGTATCTGTCCCTAATTGGACATTGAAAAATGTTGGAAAATCTTGATTTTGCGTGGAGGTGGTGTGTGTTCTTACTTCACACTCCTCTTCTTCAATCTGACTTCTGGGGGCAGTCTGCCACACAGCCACATTAGGAGATTTTTTAGTAAGAGGGTCATAGACCTGAGATTCGATAGGACTTAAAAATCACCTAGCCCAACCTCCTTATTTCCCAGAGGAGGAAATTAAAGGTGAGAGAAGGAAAGGGACTCGCTCAAAGTTACACAACTTGTTAGTTGAAGAACCAGGATTCAAATCCAAGTCCTCCGACCCAAGATTAACAGAAACTCAGAGTTGGAATAGCTCCCAACGGCCGTCTGGTCCAACCGATACTTGAATAAGAATTTCCAACAATTCCATTGTTCTTTGCACTAAAAAAAAGTTTTTCGATGCTATTTTTTTTTAAACATCCTTGTCGGTTATGAATGACTCTCCCTCCTCTAACAGAAACCTCCTTTGTAACAAATAAGTGCCCAGTTGAGCAAAGCAGGTTAATAAATTGGCCATATCTGAACACATATACCTCATTCTATACCCCTCTGTTGAGAGGTGCATGCTTGTCAGTCCAGAAAAGTCCTGATTGGTTGTTGCTCTTGCTGTTGCTACTACATCAATCTGCCTCTCCCCTCACCTAGTATTTGAAGCAAGGGTCAGAGGAACACCGCAAAAGCTACTTGCCATCTTATTCTGCAATTCAATAGAATTCCAAGCACCTCCTTATGAATGTGGTTTAAAAAAAAACCCCAAAACTTGAAGGCTACCCTCAGAGGCAAATGGACAACTGCTCGATAGTCTTTTTGGAAGTAGTGGGACTGATGGAAAGAGATCATTGCACTAGGGACAAGAATGGCCCCTATTGGGGCAGCTAGTTGATGCAGTGGATAGAGCGCTGGCCCTGGAGTCGGGAGGACCTCAGTTCAAATCTGGCCTCAGACTCTTGACACTTACTAGCTCTGTGACCTCTAGGCAAGTCACTTAACCCCAGTGCCCAGCAAAAAAAAACCCAAAAAACGGCCCCTCTGACATCTTAGCTTCATGGATATTTACAGGTGAACAAGAGGAAGTGTGGTATGGCAGAAAAGAGCGGGGAACTCATAGTTAGGAGATCTGGGTTCAAGTCTATGTGCTGCCTCTTGCTCCTTGTGGAACCCTGGTCTCTCCCTTGCTGGGTCCAAGTTTCTTCATCATTTAAACACAGGTGTCAACTTTTACAGCTTGCTGTCTCTCTACTCCCCACTTCCCCATTCAATCTGTTGCAGCGTGACTCTAATGCTCCCCCCTTTTCTCTTCTGATACTGCCACCACCCTGGTGCGGTCCATTGTATCTTCATGCTTGGACTACTGTAATAGCTTACTGCTTGGTCTCCCTGCCACAAGTCTCTCCCTACTCTAATCCATCCTCCATTCAGCCACAAAAGTGAATTTTCTAAAGCACAGGGAAGACCATGTCACCCATCCCCACTCAATAAACTCCAGTGGCTTGCTATCATCTCCAGTACTGAATATAAAAATGCTCTGTTTGGCATTCAAAACCCTTCATGACTTAGCACCACCTCTGCCTTTCTAGTCTTCTTACACCTTACCACCCCCATTCCCCAGTACTCTTCAGTCCAGTGGCACTGGCCTTCTTGATGTTACATGAACAAGACACTCCATCCCTCTTCACTGGCCATGCTTGGAATGCTCTCCCTCCTCATCTCCACATCCTTCCTTGGTTTCCTTCAAGTCCCAGTTAAAATCTCACCTTCTCCAAGAAGCCTTTCCCAGTCCCTAGTTCTAGTGCCTTTCCTCTATTAATTATTTCCTATTTATCATTTTTTAAAATGTTATTTAATTTTTAATTTATGGAATAAAACAAACATTTCCATAACATAATAAA